GTATCCTTTGAAGATGTTTTTTTCAAGTTTTTTTAAATATTTTGGAAATAAACATAGTCATTACTCAGATACAATGTAACATTGTAATTCGTTCATAATATTGACTGGTCCAAGTCGTAATCCTAACAGTATTCTCATAATAGTAACTCTTTATAAATCCAACAAGACAATATTAATCAGTATCATTTTACTAGCTCATGATAAACAGTTTTGTTAAACTATAATTTACTTTAATGCATTGAGTTTAACAAATTACTTAATTTAGTATTATTGATTATTCCTATATTGCTTTTGATGGCATTTTAATATATAATTCTAGTTTTACAAATATCCTTTGTATGGTATGTTATTTTTAGACCTTCCCTATCCTGAGGTATGAGAACTTTGACATCATTATGTTAAAATACTATGCGTTTTTGACATACGTAGTTTTACACGTAGCGCTGAGTCGGAATTATTAATTATGTTATATGTATTGATTCAAGTAAAGTGTTTGGCTCTGTTAAATTGTATTATTAATTGTTAATAAGATACAAATACTTCAGTTAATAATGCTGTTATATTAATGAATAAAAATAATAAAGTATTAATTAGGTACTGAAGATTTGATATCCTAAAAAAGTCTTCTCCCTAAAGATAAATCTTTAATAAATGTAGCACTCGTTAAAATATGTAAGGTGCGGCGTAAACTATTAGTTGTGTGGTAACAAAGTATTCTACTAGACTTAACCTTCGTTATCTAGGCGTTAGCAATGACAGCTTAACTTTGTACCATGATTTGCAAGAATATGCTATTTGTCTGGTAAGACCAATGTTATTATTATATAAATAAATATCTATTCAAACCCATATAATTTGGCATAACTCTTACAATTTACCAAAATTTATTACGAGTATATACAGAACAGGAACAACGAAAGGGTAGTATTCATTTGTTTTTTTAGAAATACTTTATAACATGTGTAGTAATTTTATTGATAGTCAAGTAGATTTGTCTACGAGAGAGAAACTAGCCTAGGGGCTGCCCCAAAAAGGTCAGTCATCGCAGCTTATGGATGTGCAATTTAGTAGGTGCGGTGTCGGCATTTAGAGGAAGGAGTATACTCTTCCTTAAAAACAATTTAGATAATTATTGGTTTTTATATCTATTTATAAAATAACACAACTCGGATATAATATTTCATAACTTTATTGTAGTCCTATAATTTATAAATAAGCTTTAAACTTCAGTCTATTCTATAGTAGAAATAAAAAAGAATTTAATCATTTAAAACAATTGAAATCGCGAGTCGCATTTGCCAAACAAACGTGAAAGAAAAGAACACATCTCTATCAATATTAATGGACTAAGAAATTCACTAAAGTTGTTTTAAGTAATCAAGTCATTTCTTAGAAGGATATATCGTATATTATTTTAATTGATACACTAATTGTCGTGTAATTAATTGCCGTTTTGAAGAGAATGTGTTAATCAGTAAAAATATGTTATGATTTCATACCACAAACCTTTTTAGGGCAATGTTATTGAAACAACTCACAATTACTGTTTTGGTAAATAATAATTATTTATAGAGTCGTAAATAACGTTATATACGAGTATATAACTATTATTGCAGTGAAATATATGATGTACAAATATTTTTACAAAATTCCTCTGGGCTTCAAACATCAACTTAGTTGCAGTAGAAAAAATTACATTTATTACAATATATACAGAAGACTCAAATTAATCGATTGAAACAAGAAATTCTTTAAAAATATTTTGTTTTACAGAAATTCGCAAACGAAAAATATAAATGAAATGCGGACGTACTAATATCTACGAATTGGTTTACGTAACACATGTATCGATCATTAATTCAAGTCCACATGTGCGAATGTCTGTAATAGCTCGTATGTCGGGAAGCCATGCCCTAAGGCGAACGCATTGCTTGGCGGTTGTACACGAGCGACTAATTGGAACCAAATATTCAAGCGACACGTATAAAAAATACAAGCAAGCTTACAACTTAAACACTATATCCTCATTCAAGTTATATTTAAATACATTTAATATAAACTGTAATGACAGGGTGGACATATAAATTAATTTGGAAAATAATTGCTAAATTCTTGTTACAGTTTCTTTGCATAGATTAGTTGGGAAACACTAACTCAATAAACTAGTAATTTAAAGCTGTAAAATGTAATGGTATAATACTAAATTGTAGCTAAAAGTGATAAAATGATTATAGACATATTTTATAATGAAATTGAATTTTAATAATATATTAAAGTAAAATTATTCAAAGCGGTGACAAATTACGCAGAATTTTCTTTCTATTAAAACAGTTTATACATTTTGTTTAAAAGTTAGCTAATTTTCATTCTTAGCAACGTAAATGTATCGTTCATATGATAAATCACGAATTTTGCTATGCATACCAACATTTTATATTCGACCTTCAGGTGTCGCCCGCTTGTGCAACACCGGCGCAGGCGCATATTAACATAGTCAAGTTCTCATACGTCGCGCGTGTGCCCACAAACCGGTCTGTGTTTCCGCCTTCCGCGATTTATATTGCTTATTTGATAACAAATTTCTCACGCAATTAAATTTAAAAAGTAATGTTCGAAACGTTTAAATTAACAAATACATCATAAAATCGGTTCTTTTATAAAGACAACCTTTGTTACTCTATTCAAATATATGTCAAAAATGCATTACCTATTAGGAAAAAGTCATAGATTTTCAAGCTATTTTAACTAACTCTTTAATATCAAAGCAAAGAAATTTGTATTGTGGTGTCAGGCATCTAACCTTTTAGTGAATTTGTGTTTCTATACTTTTAGTATAAACAATAAAAAATACTTTTTCATTTGCAAGGCGCGTTTTATTATATACACTATGAAATATTTCAACTATCTTGACCCACAGCGTTTATTGACAAAATTGTATGAATTGGGTAAGGCCGCAGTATGTAAATGTCTTTCCAATGACAAGGCCTCAATAGGCTTTACCTTTTAAACGGTGTGGACAGTCACCTTGACTCCTATACATGTAAGGCCAGTGGAATTGAGAAAAGGAAGTGTTCATTCATGATTAAGTCAATTGAACCTTTGTTTTAAGTGAGTATTGTATTTAAAAGGAAACGAGTCAATGGGCTCTTATCCGCAGAACAAATTTCACCGAATGAGCTGGAATAAGACCACTATTGCGTGACTAATTGTATACCTAATACTGCATTACCGACATTGTTTTTCCTTTATATCACCTCAATGATACCTCAATTAACATAATTATTTATCCATTGTAGGATTACTCAGACTGTAGTGCTCTTTTGTGAATTACAGAAGTTAAATACGTCAACATAGCAATTTTATAAAAAAACTTTTATGTTGTTTACTTGTAGGACTTACTTGTAGGTAATAAAGTAGCCGGTATCTCTATAAACTGTGTGTGGTTTTTGAACCACGAAACATTGCATTTAATATGAATGGTTGGCGAATAAATAATAATTTTATAAATCTCTATACTATAATTGTATTAAATAAATCAGTGGCGCTACAGCTTTTTTTCTGCTCAGATTTCTGAATATGTTTCATGATCATTTGTCAATCTAATAGGCAAGTAGGTGATCCGCCTCCAGTGCCTGACACAAGCCATCGACTTTTTGTTCTGGGTCTAAGGCAAGCCGGTTTCCTCACGATGTTTTCCTTCACCGTTAGAGGGAATGTTAAATGCGCGCATAGAAAGAAAGTCCATTGGTGCACTGCCGGGGATCGAACCTACGACCTCAGGGATGAGAGTCGCACGCAAAGCCACTAGGCCAACACAATTTTATCAATTGCCTGATATTACGTTAAAAAATTAATCTTAATATATACGAATAAATGCAGATTAAACAAAATCACTTAGACAAATATTGCAATGATTGATATAACAAGTAATTAAATTTAATTAAGGATACTGAATGAGATACATAACTTCTTAATGCACTTCCGTTAATCTTGAGTTTGACACTTTCTTGTCATGGCATATGACATTGAAACACCAACAAAATGAACAAGAATTTAATTTAAACTATATAAGTTATTAACTCTATCGTAAATATAATTAATTTAAAAAATATTAAGAAATGGCACGATGTCTTTACAGTGTTTTATAAGAATATGCAAAATACACGCAATTCTTTTGATAAATAGTTTGACAACATCTATCTAGGTTATTTTTTACGGTCCCGGTAGAATGCGACAGCGACCCCGGAGCCTCTGTAACGCGGCTTTGTCGGAACTACCTCGAGGTGGTTTTACGGTGGGTAGGTGTGCTCACCCAGTCTCTGAATAGCGGGGGGGGGTTTTGGCGTGGGTCGAGTCCCACATACCCCTGTTCAAATGCATGCGCAAATGCATTTCCACCTCGGATATCAAAAAAAAAAAAAAAAGGTTATTTTTTACATCTCGTTCTTCATAAATTTATGGCATGCATCTTAACATTTATAAATCAATCAATAATCTATTAGAGAAGGGTTCGAGCTTGGAATTAAAGCTTTCTTAAGTAGTTTAAGAAAAAACATCGATATGCAAATTACCCTTAACAAACCGAACTGATTTGGTTAAAAGTATAAACAAGATTGCGGAAACAGATGGTAAAAAGTAAATGTTTAGGTAACTTATGAATTTAGGACATATGTAGAAATTTGGCATATTTTATGTAATACACTTTTAAAATTATGTATGTTGACATCCCCCGTTTCTAAAATGCCAATCGTAATTTTACAAGTTGTAGGTTTTCTATAGAAATCGCATTTGCAGCCGTTCCTTTATAAAAACATGAAATACAACTACGAAACTGCATACTACGTGTTACAAATGATATTTTCATTTCGTGAGACTTTATATCAAAGTATGTAAGCCTCTTGAGGGCTAATCAAAACAATAAATGTTTCCTGGGAAGTACCCAAACCCTCCCGCTGACCTCTTTGCGGTAGACCCTTATGGGGGACTCGCTACCCACCCACCAGTAATCGCCTGAGGCAGGGCATGGTAACAGCGTAGCCCAGTCCTCCACGACCAATCAGCCCGGTGTGTAGAGCTGGGGGAACTCGGGCCCTATGCTCATAAGGATACGTCAGCTTCCCTTCTTTTTCGCCACGTCTCAGAAACTTACAACACATAACTACTTTACGAGACCTTAGGGTTTAATGTTTACTATCATATTATATTATCTCATTATATGCTTGTGTATTTAACAAGATATCGAAACATTACTTCCTACACATAAAAATGTCATCTAAAATGTTTCGTACTTTCTGCATTACACAAGTGTTGCGACATCTTACGAGTCGTCAAGTCCATTAAAGTCCTATTATTTTGGTCACACAACGTTTACAAGGCTATATTGTCGCATGTTCTAAATAAAATTCGTCTATTGTATTCTTATCTTTTTCATGGTAAGAACACAAGGTTTAAGATAGTTTACGCGTAATTAGGTTATGTTCTTAAGGTTATTTCTTGGGTACAACTGAAACTGATAATGAAACAAAAATATATTAAGTGCAAAGAGGTGCGAAGAGGCAATTTGAGAGTTAGTTATGTACATCGGGTGGGAAAAAAATAAAAAAAAAAAAAAAAAAAAAAAAAAAAATTTAAAAAAAAAAAAAATTTTTTTAAAAGGGGAGGTAGGTCCATGGGAAAACGGTTGGTAAGGGACTATTCGATGTTTTTTTTTATTTTTAAATAAGTAGTTTCGTTAACAATTTCTTAAAAACTAAAACTTCTTCCTAAAATCTATCATTTAAGTTAGTCTTAAGTGAGCAATTCAATTTTAGATATAAAAGATTATATATGTTACATAGCACAAGAATTTTAGTAAGGCTAAGGGGCTTGGGACAAAAAAGGTTGAGAAACACTGCTAAAGAACCTCTATTTTTTTTAATAAGAGAAATCATAGCTTAAATTATAGATAAAATAAAAAGAGATTTAAATAACGTTAACTAAAGAAACGCAAAGACCCTGTTACCAAAATATTATTCCCATCGAAACGTAAAAATACCAATAAAATTTTTACTACGACGTTTTTCTTATGAAAATACGCGATGAAATTGGATTTAATTACGCGATCAAGATTAAAATAATGACTAACTAAATAACTTGAAAACATATGTCCTAGCACAATGCAAAATTATCTATAATTAATTCGAATTACAAGCGCAAATTTTAACGCACCGCTGAGCTCACCTTGACAAGATCAATTATGTACTAATCGTCAAATTAGCTGAATAATTTTTAAAAGATATCTCACGTAATGATGGCTATATAGGTCATTAACCTATAAGCCACTGAACAACGAAGGTCACTTTTTACATGCCAATGTAACTCGGTCATTAGAAGCATCAAGGAACTACGAGTGTCCAAAGATATGTAAATACAATTCTGGCCCATAATACATCGTGTTATAAACTAAATTGGCAAACACGCCTTACTGTGAGCAGTAATGAGCATCAGGTACATTGTTTTACTGAACTTTACCTTGGCCGTAATTAATAAGTTCTTTTGTTTGAAGCGCCCAATAAATCACGCTGTTTTAAATGTATTATCAATATAGGAGTATCCGTTCTAAAAAGCAGCGTGAGCCTAGTAAGAGTGCGACTCTCATGTCGTGGGTTCGAATCACGGCTCTGCAGCAATGATATTACCTTTCTGCGTGCGCAATTAGCACTTCCTCCTACGGTGAAGGAAAATATCGTGAGGAAGCTTTGAACCCAAAAATCGATGACGATCGATGAAATGATCTAAGAAGTGCATATAGTTTAGGGCCAAGCCCTATTAAGAGTTGTAGCGCCACATAATTATTATTAGTATTCGATTGTATGTATATCACAAACAAATGCTTATTTATAAAGCAATAACATTTAATGATACGAATAGTAGAAATTTTACTTTGAATCGGAATGTATGCTTTGTAAAAAAGCACGAGAGAAAAGCCCCTGTTAAAAGCCAACTATAAACTCACACATTTCGTTAAGGCAGACGAAAATATACAATATTAAATGACGCAATGTTTTAAAACCAAATAAGAATGACTTTGAAGATCTCTTCAAAGGAATATTTAATAAAGCTATACATAGTGAAATCGAATCATTACATAAGTTGCAAGTAAAATATTTATTACACTGTCACATATCCGGATGCATGTCAGAAACGTTTGACATAACATCATATCATAATATTTCCTAAGGTGAAAAATTATTCAATACTTCGAAGCATAGTAGCTGTTAAAAGTTTTTATATAGATAATATACACCAATGGCGCTACAACCTTTTAGGTCTTGGCCTCAGATTTCTGTATTGGTGCGTCATCATTTCTACTAGGCAGGATCAACCTTCTGTGCCTGACACACACCGTCGATTTTTTGTGTCTAAGGCTTGCCTTGCTTGGTTTCCTTCATTGTACGAGCGAGTCTTAGATTCGCACATAGACAGAAAGTCCATTGGTGCCCAGCCGGTGATCGAACCTACGACCTCAGGGATGAGAGTCGCACGCGATAGCCAACACTTCTGCGTAAATGAGGCCAAAAATAGATAATGGTAAGATATTTATCTTACTATTATCTATTTTGGGCCTCATACTTCTGTATCTGTTACACGATCTATTTTGTTACTGTTTTCTTATGCGTACATATAAAGAAAAGTCGATCCAGGGTTCGAAGGCGCTCAAGTCAACTAACACTGCTATTTAAGTTTTAATTCATTCATAAATTACTATTTTTTATTTCTCTACGCAGTACAAAATTATGGTTATGAAATAAATACTTTAAACAAAGAAAAATATAGCGATGTCTAATATTATATATAGTCTATGCCCCGCAGTTCCATTCGCATTATGTCGAAGCGTAATAATATCGTAGGTATAATGCCTATCCAACATATTTTTTTAAATAGAACCAGTAGTAGCGCCTTCAAATAATGTATCTTTTTATTGAAATTTTACGACGAAAAGGTATCTGTAAAACACTATCAAGATACCGAAGGCCTTCATGGCCGCAGAAACACTGATTCAGATCATTAATATGACAGGACTTAAGGAAGTAGTGCCGGATTATATTAAATTACACGGTCGTATTAAGAAATTTGTTCTAAATAACCAGTTTGACCAAGTCACGCGCTCTATTTTATTATACTGCATTCAGTTTAACAATAACGTTCACCAATGAGAAAATAACTAGCATTATCGTATGCGGAATTTTCCGTTTTTAGATTCAAAATATTTTGAGAAAGTTAACTATATTTTGTATGTTTGCTATGATTTTCCGTCCAATATTTCGTCAACTCATCTATCATGTATCTGATGCTTTTTTTTCGTTATAATCAAAATAATATTGCCGATGCTAAATCAAAAGTTTCGAACTACGCTTCTATCTTATTTTTCATTTATTTAAATTTCATTTCCTTGAGCGTATATGACATTCAATACTATCTAAAATTTATTCAAAGATCTATAAATATGTAACACTCAGGTAATATATAATTCTTGTCAATTCACACTTAGACGTTAATTGCATGATTTAAACGTAAATTTTCGAAAGTTTAACATACCTAATAAACATTGTTTTTCTGGTGTCTGTGAATGTATAGTTTACGTAAACAATAGACTACAAATATAAAAAACCTGAAAATAGTACTTACAATTTTGACGTAGCTATTCATTTTGGCGGGTAAACGTGGGTACACTGTCACAGAATCACTGGTAGCGAACGCGTTGTCCGCTGCGGCCGCGAATACTAAAGCTGGTTCCGCCTGTAACCAAACGTTCGGTGGTGGTGAATACACAACAGACACGTGAAAAGCGAATCGCGGGGATGTGGAAACTGTTTCGCAAGGGACCTTGACAGTAGTCGAATTTATACATTTTCTTTACCTACTTTGGTGTTGGCTGCGTGAGATTGGATCTGGTAGTAAGGTGCTTCAGTTGTGAGTTCCAGTTATATAGGACAGACCGCGACCTCCAGGTTACAGCCGCTCCATTGATATGTTATCTTTGAGGAATCCCTTATTTCATATTGTCTTCGACGTGTTCAAAACGTATTTATTAATTTATTTTTTTAATTATATTTACAAATATTTTGTCCCGAAAACGAAATGTCTGAGAAATTAATATTGTTAAATGTTTATTATAACGGCCTGTCTTTGCTGGACTTTTTTAAATTATTTTAGCAGTGTAGCATTTAATTGTGAATTAATTTCTGAAGTTGGTTAAAAATACGTATGTTTCCTATTTATAATGAAATAAATTTGACTGCCTTAGTACCTAGCAATGCATAATATGGCTAATAAGACCAAGTTTGATAGACTACCCGAAAATAATACATTGTGTTTTTCTCCTTAACTTACAGAAGCAAACTCGACGTTTTTGTATGCAAGTTCGAAGTAGTTCTCTCTATGTCCGTAGCGCTTATGTCGCAACCTTGGAATCGGAACAAAAACTCATTATTGGAATCAGGATCGCTGTCGGTATCGCTAGTGGAAGTTACAGACAGGCCTTGAACGAAACATAGCTATTTGTGTCGTTTGGGGTTGAAATATTATACAGTAAGTATAATAACTTTAACATAATGATACTTTAAGGATATCCTCTCGATTAACAACTCGATAAGGAAAAATAGTATGTAAATTAATTTCCGGATACGTAAACTATTTAATTAGTAATGTGTCGTTGATCTGAAGTATGAATTAAGGGAAATGTATTTAAAAAAAAATATTTTAACAAATTGATTAAGAATCTTATGTTATTCTTACTTAAGATTTTTCAATGTATGAATACAAAACTCTGGCACAAAAAAACATGTGGGGTAAGTAATGAGTTATTTGACAGGGTAAAATTTTCTCTGCGAAGTTTTTTTTAAATATTTTTAAAACAATGTAATTTACCTCAGTATGATTTAACACCCCTATTGAGAAAATTATGCGTAAATTAATCTGATACATTCCTATAAAAAGGGCTTAGTTACAGTTTGTTAAAAAAATTATTTCTGCGAAGAAATTATAACCAAGTCAAGGTTGTATTTTAACAATAAAAGCCATTGTGTCGCACAAAGATAAATTTGAATTACAACGCAGCAATTAATTCATTAAAATAATTTGCGCTATTTTATCGTATCTTAGTGATAACTCGCAT